GCTGCTCCATGATCTGCCCCTAGGTTACTAACAACCCCAACAGACAGCCTGGCTCATGCGACCTGCTGCTTAGGCACAGATTAGCTCCCCACCAGCCATATGGGCTACCAACTTCACAAATTCCTCTCCTTTTGCTTTCTGCTCTCAGTAAAGTTAATGGACAGTTTGCTGGTAAAGAAAACATAAAACAAAACTGCAAACCTGTGACCTAATCACCTGGGTTTAACACAACTGGCCCCTCCATCTGCCTTTGCACTGGGATCTGTGAATATAAAGCAGGATCTAGTGCTGAGCATGATGCAGGTTCATCCTGGTGACTTTCCCTTATGGCACAGGTACTTGCTTACAATACAATGGAATTGGACATAGGCACTGTGCATATATTGCACACACCTAACCATATGTAATTGTATGTTCTTAAAAAGATCCCATTGTTTTGGTGGGCTTTAGTCAGTAGTGGCTCTTGTGGTCATTTCCTAAATGTTTTTAGACTGGCAGAGCACATTTCAAGGTGATTTCTCCACTGACATTGCAAGATACATATTTGGGGAGGAATGCATGAAGGGCCAGAAACACAAAGGTTTTATCAAAAAGCTGAAACCTTCAATGCCACATGCTGACTTTGAGGATGGCCTTTCTAAACATTATTTCCTGCCTGGGTCTTAAATGTAGGGTGCCAGGATGCTCAGGGATTGCTGGGCTGAATCTTAGAAGTGCTCCAAGCCAGCATTAGCAATTGTCAGTGGCGTGCTCTGCCCCAGCCCTGTGCCTGGACCTGTGGTGCCTATGGCTCCTGTCCAGGCTGTTCTGACTGGCTCTGCTTGGGCTTCTTGCCACCTGGGACAGACAAGGACATCCCAAAGAGAAGGCAGCAGTAGTCTGTGCTCTGGAAGACGTGCTGCCCATCTGAGATGCAAGTGGAGCTGCCTTAAGCCACCTCAGGCAATCACTAGTCATGAAATATCCTTCTGTCACTGAGGCTCTCTTATATTTAAGACTTGGGTTACAGGCATGCTGCAGCCAGTCACTTGTGAATTACATTTTATATCAGTACTTTGTACCTTATCTTTATCTGCAGTGTGTGTGTTCATGTACAGGTAACCTGATACCTATAAATATGTCAGATTATCATCTTTATAGCTGTTGGTTGGATATTTGGCTTTTGCTAAAAGTTGGATCCTTAATTTAAACCTGGAATTAGGACTTGCTTTGCATCTTAGGTCGCAAGCATTAGTTTATACAGTCTTTATATATCTTTGCTAAAGGACTAAATGGTTATGGAAAGAGCAGGACTTCAGGTAGCCCAATGAATTATATGATTGGTGAAACTGCTGTCACAGTTCCAGCACTGCTGTATTTACAAATATGTAGTTTCCTAAATGCTTCTGGAGAGGCTCCTTCTTTGAATATTTTAGCAAAAAAGCAATTTAAAACTTTAAGAAGAATCAAATGAAAAATACAATATATTTTAAACTTTAAAATGGAGATAGATTTTCTTCAATATTCTGCAATTTAAATAGGAAATATTAATAGTTTTAATCTCTTTGACTTTTCCATGTGTATTGCCATAGAAAGTCAAAGATAACTTATTGGACCTAATCGGACAGTTTACAGGCTCATCCCTCCTCAAAAATAAAAGGTTTTTGGTTTCTCCAAATTCTTCTGTCTTTGGAAAGAAGGAAAAAATAAGCCTTCTCAAATTAATAAAGAACTAACTGTCACCTCTCCAGTGACAGAATGCAAATTGGGATAGAATGAAAGAAAAGAAAGACACTCAAGTAAAGGTAGTTCTTATTTTCCAAATGATTGAGAGGGGTTAGTAAAAAAGGCTTCTATTATTTGTTTTTAGAAAAAAAAATTCTTTCCAAATATCCCAGCTTATGATCACCTTTTTGCTTTCATACTGAACATCTGTAGAAGCAGGCATCATGTGTGAGAAATACTGAAAAAAAATTTGGTAGTTCCACATGAGATGGTACCTTTGACTTGTCTGATGCTTTGGTTCCTGCCTCAAGCTGTAGTTGTTTCTTCAGAAAAAAAACCCCATAACATAAAATTGAAGCCAGAATCCATGCTTTCAAACAAATGGGATTTATAAGTGATTTTTGACATGTGCTGATTATTCTGAAGGAGTATATGCAATTTTATATGCTGTATTTTGTAAATGGAACTGCCTTTAATTTATCTGTACATCAGAGGCAAGTTTTCTCCTGGTTTTGTTCAAGTTGGTAACAGAGAAATGAGATGAAAGGGATGAGCTGGTTTCCATGTAGATTCATTGATTGATTCTTCTGGAAGTGTTACCTGAGGACAGGTAGAGCTATCCCTTATTACTGGGCTGCTGGGGAGCTAAATATCTGGGAAAACCCATCCTCACTTGCAGGTTCTGTGACCACAGTGTCATTCTTTGCAGCTCAGTTATTTAACTGTGTGACTGACCACAACGATCCTGGCTTTTCTCGTCTGAGCTTAATGGTGAAAATATCTCACTTTCATCTCAAAACTAGGTTGAAGATTTGTGGTGTTATTTGAAATGGCTGGGACTGTCCTTTGACTTGCCTATTGAATCTCACCCCCTTGGATCTGTTCTGGCTGTCTGAGGAGGGAGTGCAGAGGCAGGCCTGAGGGCAAGGCAGGTTGCGAAAGAGAAGTTGCAAGAGTCTGTCTTTGGGGACTTCAGGATTTTTATTTAATTCTAAGGTTTGAAACATCCCTTTAGCAATGAGGGAAGTCCATGGTGCCAGCCCATGGTGTGGCTCTGCAGCCAGAGCGGAGCACCCGGAGCTGGCCAGGAGCAGGAACTCCTTTGGTTGTTCCCAGCAGGGGCCGTGCATGAGCAGAAGGGGTTGTTGCTGTTTGCTGTGCTCTGCAGGGTTTATGTGCACCCTCATCTGACTGATGCAGACTCAGAGGAGCAGACACCATGTACAGTTATAAGGTCCTTGCCTCTCTGGTAATACCCATTCATCTTGAGTCCTCTGTCCCATCCTTGTGTAATGAAAATTTCTCAGCAGGATGGTGATTTGTGCTGTGGCCCCAGGTCCTTGGGAGGAGGGGGCAAAGGGGGAGGAAGAGATTTCTGTATTAGCAAATACCTTGGAGGTGGATGCAGGATATTTAGGGAGCACGTGCAAGCCGCCATGTGAGCAACAGGGAACCAAAGTCTTAATGAAAGCCTTTGGGCAGGAGGGTAGGGCTGGCTGCCCTGGACCCTGGCGCTGAGCTCTGCTGCAGACGCCAGCCAGGCCCTGCTGACATAATCCTCTTAGGGAGAGAGAGAGTGGCAACCTTTCCATTTGCTCCATGTTCCATTGGGATGCAGTGTTTGCTGTGTCCAAGTATTCTACATTTCTCCCTATCCTCTGTCTGAGGCACAGCAGGACATCTCAGGAAGGGAGAAGCTCTACAAGTCATACCTCTCCTCAAATGGACCTGGATGGATTTGGGATGGAGAGCTATGAATAGGTCTGCCTCCCATAAATCACTTTGGGCATGGAGTGGCTTTCCTTACAGCCTGCATTGCTGCCTCTGTACATCTCTGCTTTATTCCTGCTGGTTTTCTTCTCCAATGCTAAACCACGTTGTTTTTCTCTTGTTGTGGTTGCCTCCTTAAAGATCTCATGTAGAGTCACTCTGCTTTCCACAAGCTGTCTTCTAAAATGTTGGTTTTCTACCTCTTGATTATGGCTTTCTAACTCTTGAGACTAAACAGATGCTGAGATCAATATTCCAGGATACTTCATTTCTGGTACCAAAATTCCAAATCCAACTACCTGTTTTTTATTGTAGGGAAGAAAGCTCTGATCTAGGTCTGAATTTTGCCAATCACAATCTGAAACAAATGTTCTTCGCTTTTTTTAAAGAAGGAACTACAAAACCAGATTTGCCACCACATCTGGAGAGCCTGAGCAGAGCTTCTCTCTAACCACTATGAAACAGGCCTGGAGTGATGTTTGGGGCCTCAAAACTCTCTCAATGGAAAGTGTAATACCCCAAACCTATGGGTAAGGGTTTGCCAATCCTCACTCTAAAAGGACAGGGCTCTGCCTGTTCAGAGAGAAAATCAAACCTTTACACTCTGCTCCTGCTTTCATTAATATTCTTTATTTTGATCTTTTAAATGTTCTTCCCAGGCTTTGACATTTTGTAGCATTAAATTAAGAGATTTTTACATACCTAACATCTGTGGTACACTGTCCTCTCACCATTCTGGGAGAAGCTGGCCTTAGACATGTGGGTTTTGGTCTTTGCACTGGCCAGGTCAAGTACAGGAGCAGCATGTTTATTTCAATATTAAGTTGTCAGCAGTTTATACCAATATATTGTAAGGAAAAAGAGGTTCCTGAACATTATTAAGTCTTTAGTTTGGGATTAGGAGGTTTTAAGACAGATTTAATTAAACAGAGCAGGGACAGCTTTATGAACCTGAAGTTGGGGTTAATTCGCTCCCCTAGTGCTCTTATTTCTTGATTACACAAAGATGAAACAAATTCCATGTCCTACCTGGGGAGCCCTGGATGGGAATATGAAGTTTCATCTCCAGACAGTTCAGTGCCCTGTCAGGGAGGCCATGATTAATAACCATGTCAGGGGACTCTTAGTGCTGGAAAGAAATGCACTGGAGCCAGTCTGACAGCGAGCCAGTGCCACCCTGGGAGCTCTCATGGAGATCGTGCTGCTGCCTCAATGGGCCTGATAAAAGAGGCCCTTCAGGGCTGCAGCAAGATGGGGCAAGAGCAAAGTGGGATCCAGAAGTTGTCAGGAGGTCATGATTAATGGAAGCAGAGACAGACAAATTTAAATAAGCACCTTTGTGCTTGGCATCTCTTGGACTGTGATGAGCTCCTTTTCAATGGGTCAGATATAATTGGAGCTCGCCCCAACTGCCACTGCCACAGTAACCAAGCGCAAACAAATCCTTCTCAGAGCTGTCTTGAGTTTCTGATGGATTTTCACTGGATGCTTCCCACCTTTGCTTATTTCTGGCCCCCATGTCTCAGTGTTAAAGTGGCATGAGATTTGCAGAGGAGAACACTGTGACAGTCTGTGTTACACTTGCAGAGCTTTTCATCTTTAAACCTCTATTCATACAGACATGGACCTGACATTGGTGAGTTTCCTGCTAGATGCATAATAAAAAAATCAGGCATGAGTGTATTTTGTTGGGAGAAATGAATGAATGAGATATCTGGGGATATTGCAATGAATTAGGTTTTGTAGAATCAAGTGTTTGCAGAGCTTGAAACCCAAAAGGGGCCACCTTGCCTCTGACACCATATAGTTCTGTCATTTCTCTTAGTTCTCTCTACACTGGGGTTTTGTATGAGGTTAAAATATCCTTTTCCAAAAGACACCTGCCCTGATTTTGAAGTACTAGAGGACAGTGTCACTGTGTGAGGGACAGTGCCATTGTGTGGGAAACAGTTCCAGTGTTTAACTGCTGGTGTTATTTCAAGTCCTCCCCTTCTTTCCATTGTGAGTAGTGGCTTCCAACTATTGAATGAAAGGTCCTTATGTACCTGGAACTGGAAACCTGCTCACATGTGGCTGTTCTCATGCTACTCTTCTCTTTTGCTGGACTGAACAGACAAAAAAGATGTTTCTCAATCCAAATACACCACAAGTGTTGGACAAGACCAGGGAAAAACTGTCCCTGTTCTGTAGTTTCATTCCTCTATATGAAATGTGCAGCGATCAGCTCTCTTTAATTAAAAAATAGCTTCAAATACTAAATTTTTTGTGTGAACCAAAAACAGATGAACCTGCAGACCATGTTCCTGTGCCCCTTTGCAGATACATTCTCATTTCTTATTCCAAGCATCTGTATGAATTTGATGGGAGTTCCTGCTGTGGGCAATCACAGCTGAGCACTGAGTCAAGGATACAAATGAAGTCCAGACTTTTAAAATGTCATTTCAGAAGTCTTGTATAGTTAATGCACTAAAAGCCTAACAGTCTTTTTATTTTATTTTGTTTTTTCAGTCAGGCCACTTTATACATACAGTATTTGGGGAAAATTTAAAGCAGGAAACAGTCAGGATATTCTGAATGCATTTTGGTACAGACGATTTTCTCACTGGGTCTTTTAAAATTGTTTTGTACTGTTCCTGGAATGCCAAACAACGATGTTGGAGCACTGTTGACAGGCAGATCTGGACTGGGGCCCTGCAGACAGTTAAGGAAGGGCAATAATGCCACCTTATGTCCTGATTTGTCACTGCTGAGCCAAGTGCTTGGTTCAAGTCAAACACATTCTGAGCAAGGAGTGCTGTGTGCTGAGGCACCCCTGCTTTTGGAGTTATTGCCACAAGGCCAGAAAGAATCTGAGATGAATCTGAAATGACTGGTGTGGTGTTTTGGTAGAGAATTGACTCTTGCTTCACATGAGTTTGGGAGCATGAAATTGTGTGTAAAATGAAAACAATTTAACTCCATAGTGTTAACATCAAAACCTGTGAACATAATGATGCAAGCTTTCAAACCTATAAATATTTACATTAGATGCTTCCTGAGTTTTTAATTTGCACTATGAATTTAAAAGATTTTGAAGATAAATGACACTAAAAGTGGAGCTGCATTGGAAATAGACATTTACAGGCAGTAGGCTTCTATTTGCTTTTGACTGTTGCATGTTTTCTACAAAAAATTGAATTTTTTAGAAAATATAATTATCTGAAACTTAGCAGGACTGTATTTTATAAAAGTAGTTCCAGTAGTAGGAGCTAATTGAGCATCAATATGGCCAGATTCAAAATGAATATTTATTAAGGGTCTCTGATTATTTGTTTGTAGTCCCAGTCATTTGGAGGGGGGAAAGTGTGGTTTAAGAATTAAGGAATACAGTGTTTTCACAGAGTTTCTAGTTGAGAATGATGTGGAGGGCAATCTGCTGGAAAACCATTACTATTTTTCTCACATAAAGGGAACATAGTCCTGCCAAGTGGGTGCTGCTGAAATCATTGGCACTTGCTGAGATAAGCCAAAGCTGAATATGATGCTCTCAGAACATAGGTGGGCAGATAAAGCTCCTTCAGGTATAAGGCAAGCCTATTCTTCCCAATAAAGACTTTCTGCCCTTTGGTACAGATGTTTTCTCCATGTTATTAATTTTCTGTTGGGAAGTTGTTCTGCTGCTCCAAACACAGGCCCACTCAGGGAGTAAAAAGGTTTAGAACATGAGGCCATAAGCCAGTACAAGTACAAAAGCCTAATGCTTAGGGGTGCCAGAAGGCCATAGCTACAATTTTGCATGCATGGGGCTTGCAGAAAGTATGAATTTGATAAAATTCTGTAAAAAATGTTGAGAGCATGCATGTGATCACAGTGGATCATGGCAGAGGAACTTCTGCAAGGGTTGGTGATGTCATTATATACATATTCAGAAAAGAAAGGTGTTTCCTGTAAGGCAACAAGTTCAGTCTCACCAGGGGACAGGTGTGTGCTTGCTGCACATGTTGACACACATTTAAAAATTTGCCACTGTAAATATTATTAAAAATAAGTTAGTGAACTCGCAGCTTTAGTCATCAAGTGAATGTTGTTGCATGGGTCAGCTGAATGCCTCAAAAGATTCTCTGGCATCAAGAATTTATACAGGATCCTTAATTCAGCAGAACTCCAGAGCAACCAAAGCTGTACTTCCAGTTACAGGTGCCTGCTCTTCTTTCTCTCTTCCTGTTTTCTGGGGCCAGCATGCCTGATATCCTGCAGCACATATGGTCCTTTTCTGCAGAAGCGAGTATTTAATTTCTCTCAGCCGAAGGAAAAACCCCCAAAAAGCAAGCACAACCCAGGTTTCGATCTTCCTGTTACGACAGCATGGATTTGTTTTCCTTCGTGCACGGATCGCATGGTGGGGGGTTGCTGTTGTCTAAGCAACTTCTCTGGGATGGAATCCTTTAGAAAGAAAGGAAAAGAATCCACTTACTCTCCTGCTTTTGTAGTCTCATTCCAGGGTTTTGGCATCATCTCCCTGTGTATCTGTTGTGCAGATTAGAGAACATTTTACTCTGCCTTTGCTATCTTTATGCCCTTATGGGTTCCTTTGTAGGCAACACCTCCTCCTTGGATCAAGTTCATTTCATTTGCTTTCCTCCTGAACCCTTATCTCCTTGGTTAAATAGAGTGCCGAAATAGTTGGCAGACTTTGAGCATCTTTAATTATCATTAGCAAATTGTTGAGAACACAGCAGACAATTGACAGTCTGGTCTTCAGAGTGCCATTAAAAGAGATTAGAAAAGACTGTTTGTGTGCGTTGTACAAATTTGTTTGTTTTCTAGCCCTGAGAGTATAATGGAAATGTCCCAGCCAGACTGAGCTGTTGCTGTGGCACCAGTCAAAGCCTGGGACATACGAGTGAGGCATCGTTGTTCTGGGTTACCCAGGACCTCTGGGTTACTGAGCCTGGCCCTTCTGAGCGGAAGGCTTGCAGGGCAAAATGAAATCCCAGTGCAGACTGACTGCCCTGCCCCTCCTCAGCTTGCTGGGCAATGTCTGCCTACATGGCACTTGCAAGAGGATTATGATGCCACTTGTATATAATGACATCACTTAATTATATAAATTGGTACTGTAAAGGGTGAATATCTCAAGTAGATAAGTGTATAGAAAATATCAGTAAAAATGCTTTCGTTAAGAATAAAACAGAAAAAAATTACAGTCTCTAACATTGTCAAGGGAAGTTTGAATTGGAGGTAACGAGTGCTCAGCTTGTTTTCTGATGTGCAGGAGGTTAGGACTGTTTATGTGTTTATTTTGTCTAACATAAAAAAGAATTCTCATTTTACATGTGCAAGAATTCCTCTAAACTTTTGTTGTCACTAATGCCTTATGCTTGAGGAGTTTCCTGGAATAAACCTCCCCAGCACCAGTGTGTAGAGAGAGATTGGTGAAACAAAGGTCAGAAGGATGAGGCTCTGCTGCTGGCCATGGGTCTCCTGGCTCAGTTTAAATTACTGTAGAAAGCTTTCTTTTTTATGTGTCCAACAGGAGACATGCTGAAAACAGCCTTCACGCTTTGCAGAAATTCATCTGGCTTTCCCCTTTTTGTTACCAGTGTGTTTCTCACAATGAATTTGTCACTTCATTTTTGCAGTCACACATGAGTTTGAAATATTGAAGTGGAGCTTAACAAAATGTCTTAGATTTCTCACTTTCATCAAAATTCTGAGTGGTTGCATTTCAAATCAGTGATACTTTCTCTCAGGTTTCCTTGGAAATATGCAGACCTCTAGGAAACACTTAAAAATGTGCCAACTTCAAGCTTCTTGAGAAATCTGGTGGGGTTGATATGATTTCTCACACTGTTTTGCTGACAGATTCACAGTTATCATGGTTGTGTGGTTATCACTGTCCAAGCTCTGCACAGGTGGATACTGTAGTGTAAGGAGGAATTCGGGGGTGTCTGGAGAGGGATTCCAGCTGCTCTGTGGAATATGCTCTAGGATCTCTGATGCTGAGTTTTGCTCAGCCATGGCTCATCCTATGAGACAGCTTGGGTATGCAGGAGAGATGGTTCTGATTTCCCCTGTGGAGTGTTAAACACAGTTTTTAACAGAGAAGAGCTGAGAATTTTGCAGGTCTTGCAAACCACCAAGTGATCATTTCCATCACTGCCTGTTTTTTCAAATAGCTCCTGAAAGGCATTCCATGTTAGAGACTGGAGTCTCCTGGCCAAAAATAATGTTGTAGGGGCTAAAGTTGGACTTGTGTTTAAGGGAAGACTGGAAAAGTTCAGAAAGGAGAAATCCAGCCAGGGTTACCAAGCACTGAAAATGCCTCTGACATGAGAAGTTCCTGGGCTGAAAACAGTTGGGGAATGGAGGAATTTAAGGGAGCAGTATCATTCATCTGTGTGCTCTGTCTAGCTACTGAGGCCATTGTTGAGGGTGCTGCCTTAGGGAGGTGTTCCCTCTGATCCAATGCAGCAAAGGCTGTTTCTGTATAAAACTTCTTTCTAGTAACATAATTTTCTCCTAGCTTTATAGTCTCAGTTTTAGTGAGTACTGAATTCTCAGATAATTTGAGTGTTAATTATTTCCATCCAGAGCTGATAGATGGAACCCTGTGAAGCTGCAGACCACTGGGCACAGAAGGAAATCTAGATTTCT